ATCCCAATTGGGAGAGACTCAGGATAATGTCCATGTGTGGGTGGAATGATTATGTGGACCTCTTAATCTAGTTTGGATATTCTTAAGCAAGGTGATGTTTCCACGTGGGTAGGACACTTGGCTGAGCAAAAAGGAAAGTGCTATTTCACTTTTACTCAGCTCACAACGTCACAATTCACATTGGAAAGTCTTGAAGAAAACATGATTTATAATTTCAAAGGGAAATCTGCGAGAACCAGTGTGCCTCTTGTTTGCTCACATGGCACATTATTGATGGATGTGAAGCTGAGCAATAAATGCAGCAGCAGTGATTTCCTGTCTCGTTTTCAGTGGGGGCACAAGATAAAGCTGCTTAACGCACAAGGCAATCAAGAAGATTTACTCTGTGTTATTGGAGCAGTGAATTGTTGAAATAAGTTCCATGGAAGAGATCTTCACAGGGAACAGAAATGGAGGCTGCAATTTGCATGAAATATTTAAATTTTTTAAAAAACATATTGGCCCGAGGTCTTGCCAATGAAAATTACTTGTCACTAGGAACAAAATGTGAAAGGTCAGGCAATAGTGATATATTATCAGCTGCAGAAAGCGTAAGTGCTTTCCAGTCTCACTATGTTGGCGCTATTGCAAACAGAAGAATAAGCAGCACTTGGCACTAAAAGCCCTGAGCAAGTGAGGCCTTCTCAGGCAACACCAAATCAGAGGCGACTCCCTGGAGACGACCCCTTGTCCAGGTTGCATTTCAAAAGGAAAGTTTGAGACGTCACGTACTCTGAAGGCCATCCTAATCCACTGTTCTGTGTCTTCCAACAGTGTGCAAAATTACTGCAGGATTTGGTAATATACCTTTACAATTCCTCACCGTAGGACTGTATTACACAGAGAAGTAGGCACTGGACTGTTGCCTCTTGTAGACAGTTCTGTTCTGCCTGCCCATTTGTTCCATCTTGGCGTGATGCTGCACCGGCATGAGTCTGTGGGTCGCATTTTCCCCACAGTCATCTCAGACAGACAGTGCACTCAATGGCAAGCTATTCAGTCTAGCTAGTTAAACTCCAGTAGTTACCCCAGTGCACACTCTGGAGCCCCTAAGCCTTGGCTTGTGCCAGTCTGCATCTAATACTCTCCGGAATTAGCAGTAATGCGTCCCTCTAGGGAAAGAGTGCACACTCCATTTCAATACACGGGAATTTCCATATGTAGGTGGGACGCATGGAACTCTCTGTTTGGTTTTGTTACTGACAAGCATGGCATACGTCTCTGTATGTCTCAAACACATGGATAACAAAAAAAAAGGATGTGGGGCTCCGTGCTAGAGAGGCAATTTGCATCATTGGGCATTTTTTCAAGTTGAGATACCTTTCTTTGGTGTATTTCAATTTCTAAAACTTTTTTTTTAAATCATAATACACTCGGCTCACTGAAACAATGTAACTTTCAGACCCATCTGCAGCAGGAAGAAATATCTGTAGTATTTGTAAAAGTTCATGTTGGTACATACAGTGTATGCATGTTGGTTATTGGCTTGTGAGAATGCCTGCGTTACACATGCTAATATTCCTAATTCTTTACATTTTGGTACAGCGCATTTCATGTTAGGAGGACATCCCAAAGCACTTCATGGGATATACAGTGAAGTGGAGTGATGGTGGATGTCAAGGGTGAACAATCTACCCACAGAACAAACATGCATGAAATGAACGACCAATTTTATTTGGATGATTGTTGGCCAGGAGATCAAGAGAAAGTCCCTTCTCTTTTCGAAGGAGCCCATGGACTGCTATGGCATCTTTAACATCCAACTCCACAGGTAGAAGAGGATTTAGTTTAACATTTCATTCGAAAGACAGCAACTCCAATATTGCAGCCTACCCCAGCATTGTATTGGAATGTCAGCTTAAACTTGAGTTCCACATCCCGACCTGGGACTTGAAGCCAAAACCTTCTGACTCAGAGGTGGGAGTGCTACCAACTGCGCCAGGCTGGCAGACAACAGATGTAACCTGGACTATGCAGATCCAGGTACTTACTACTGGGGAGAAATCAGTGGATGGAATACCTTGTTCTAAATAGCCCATTGTGAAGACTTATTGCTCTGAGATGCTATCCTGAATGAAGCACATGATATAAAGGCAAGTTGTTGATGGCTAGTCACTTCACCTCAGGAGCACCGAGTAACTCTAAAAGAGGCTTGGAGCAGGTCCCCCAACCTAAGTGCTTGACTTAAAATATTAGACTGGACAGAAAATAATAGGACTTGTACCCTCAAAAATCCAAGTCCACAATTCACATGTAAACAGCAAGGGCCAAACTTTTCCCATCAACAGACTGGGTATGGGAAAATTGTGCCCCAGTACTGCATTTCTGATATTTCAAATTTGTTTTGTGTTCACCGAGGTGGGACTTTTGAGTGTGTGGATTGAGTGTGCATGGGGGAGAGGGAGGGGGAAACTCAGCTTTGTATCACAGAGAGCTTTTGCATTTCACACAACTAAGCATTGAGCACTATCAGCTCAGGTACAGCATTGATAAGATAAGTGAGGAAGCTGCTTTACTCTACAACAGTGTGCTCACCCTCAAAATATACATTCAATTCACTTTACAGTATATTCTGTGAAGCACTTTGAGGCGTCTCAATGATGTGACAAGGCGTTATATTAAATGCAAGGATTATTATAATAATCTCAGAAGAGCCACTTCCCCACACGCACTCCATATCCCACACTATGGTCAGTGCTTTGCTAGCTATCCACAGCCACTAGGAAATGGATTAAGGATGCCCAGAGTGTCATTTGTTGCAGAATCATTGATGAGCCCTTGCTTGGCTAGTTCTTCCTCATAATCTGTTGCTCTAGCACTAGGGTAGTAATAATAATAATCCTTGCATATGATAATAGTGCCTTAGCACGTTTCAGCGCCTTCGGATGCCCTCATGACATGAAAGGCGCTATACAAATGTAATTTTGTTTTTGTTGTCTTCAAGAATATACTGTAAAGTGAATTGACTGTTGATTTGGTGGGCGAAATGCGGCAGCCAATTGCACACAGCAGTGTCCCACAAACAGTCATGGATTGACTGACCAATTCATTATTATTTTTTCGATGGAATTATTACCCGGAGAAAAGCAATCCACCATCGACTAACAACCGGGTTCCTACTTACTGCTGGGTGTAGTAACAGAGGCGTGTGGAGTAAGGAAATTTGTCCAACATTTCGCCCTGTCGGGAATCGAACCCAGGTCTCTCGCTTGCGAGCCGATTGCTCTAACCACTGAACTACAGGACTCCATGTAGAACATGTGCCTCTTATTTACTTCCGATATCCAATACCTTGCTTTTCTTTCAACAGCAGAAAGATTTTTCTGCATCAAGTTACAGCAATAAATGTGGAGTCCCGTAGCTCAGTGGTTAGAAACTTGTCTTGCAAGTGAGAGACCTGGATTTGATTCCTGGCAGGGCAAAACCTTGGGCAAGTTTCTTTATTTCACATGCCTGATAATAATCCCTCAAGAAAAAAAAACAATAATAAATTGGTCACTTCAATCCACGACTGTTTGTGGGACACTGCTGTGCACAATTGGCTGCCGCGTTTTGTCCACAAATATACAGTCAATTCACTTTACAGCATATTCTGTGAAGCGCTTTGAGATGTCGAGAAGACGTGAAAAGTGCTATATCAAATGCAAGGATTATTATTTAATAACAATTTTACACTTAGACAGCTGCTTTCAGGTCAGGAGGATATCTCAAGGCACTTCACAGAGCCAACTAGGAGTCTGAGCTGAGGACGAGGGGAACTTGGGATGGTGCTGGGGAAAGGTGACCAAAAGGGTGGGCCATGAAGCCGGCCGGGGTTCATTGAGTGGAAGGTGTGGTTGGATGGTAGGGGTACACAAGCTCACAGAGGGAGGATGGGATGAGGACGTGGGGGTTTTGACACAAGGACAAGGATCTTGAACTTGACATAAGGACTAGAACTTAAGACCTTGAGGAATAATACACCAGGCAGAGTCACAAAGGGGGCAGTTTGGGAGCTCTAAGCATTCGATATGCTAATTATCATTGGTGATTGTTATCACATCGAACACTTAAAAAGTCTCAAATTTCACCCCAAATAATCTAAAGTTCTTCCTCACAGAAATGGTGGTGGTGGTGAGTGTTGGGAAAAGTTAACAATATTGTCTTCAACCTAAGTTAAAGCCTTCAGATTTTGAAAAAAACAGACTCAAGGAATCAATACAGACTCTCACCAGATCAAGTTTCCCAGCTCTGCCAATTCCCCTTTGCTACATACTTGAAGCCTTTAGTACTGAATAACCCACCCTCCCCACTTCCCTCCCTTAATCCCACCACCATCACCCAAGGTAGGGTATCCTTTTATCCCCAAATAGTCAAAATCATGTCAAAGTCATGTCTTTCTAAGACAGATTTACTGAAATAGTGTTCTTGAGATGAACATGTCGAATAATAGGAACTATTAAGCAACTTCATAAATGCATGATTCACATTGTTTCAAAAATTAACTTTGCCTGGGATTTCCTTCCTTCACAATTACAAGCAGCATTGCTTTCATTAACGGACACACTGCTTTCCAGCTGAAGAGATAAAATACACGATTATAATTCCTAGTGCTAATTCTGGTTTTGGAAAAGATACCAGCAAAGATTTTTTTTAGAAAGAAAAAATATACTACAAAGGGTCTTATTGGCTCTTAAACTTGCAATCCTCTCCAGCCTGAGTAGTTGGCTTATTAATAAAACAAGAAAATAACTGCACTTATAATGACAAACCATCTTATAGCGCTTCACAACAATTGCTGTCAAATATAGCAACTGTTTGCACCATAATTTACATACAATTACACAGAACATTGCAGTACGGAAACAGGCCATTTAGCCCAAGTAGTCCGCACTGATGTTTATACTCCATATGAGCCTCCACCCCAATAAAATGACCTCGACAGGTCTGGCACTCCACGTGGAGCCTTGCAGGACTAGTACCTGATTTGCATGTTGCAGCAGTTCCTGACGCTCCTGTAAGATCTGACCGTCATACTCCCGGCTCTGCCTCAGCACCTGCCTCCTCCACTTCTCCACAGCCAGCTTCAGCTCTTCCTTCTGCTTGTCGCTCAGAGATTCGCTCACTCGGCTTCCAGGGCACTGCTGCAATGTATTGTACAGCGTGGCTTCCAACTCCTGGATTTGCTGGGGAGGAGAATGTTAACACAAGAGCAAATCTCAATGCACGAGCCCATTAAAACAAAGGAGGTGTTCAAGAAGGGGAAAACAAGTGAACGGATGGCATACACATTGTCACCCGAACGTATGAACAATGCGTCTTAAAATGTACATTTGCAATGCGATAGGCTCAGTGCAGACAATAGGCACCTTGTGCAGTACACTATAAGAACAGCCCACGCAGCAGGATTGCCGCAAAGGCCCTGCAAGACCAGCCTTTTGTTTGGAAGTTTACTCTCGCACGCTGTGCTGCTAGGTTGCCATTGGCAACCGATGACACATCAAGCATGGAGGCTGAGACGTGAATTGAACCAGGAGCTTACAGATTCCAGCACTTCATTCCACACACAGAGGAAATTTTCGCAAGGAGGTGGCAATGCGTGGAACTCTCAGGCTGAGTTAGATACTCTTTAAGTATTCTGACACATCCTGACCAAAAGGAAAAAAATAACTCAATGACATACATAGGTCAAATTATAGTATCTCCTTAAATGAGATTCGAACGTGCAACTCTTTCTTTTTGGTGTTGGTGTAATTTTGTAAAGTTTGGCACTGCTCTGTAGTCGTCTTTTGCTACAAAGCCAGGTATTCATTTTGCGCCGACTGCGCCACATTTACAAATTGTTTTTCAGATTAATGAGCAAGTACATCTCACATTTATTTCATAACGAGCCAAGAGGAAACTGGAAAGGGACTTAGCAGCAAATGCAAACATACCCACCCAAAACTCTTTCAATGTTACAACAGTAAGAGGGTAGTGAGGAAGCTGCTGAAATCCTAAGGGATTCAAAGTGGGTTGAAAAGGATGGAGATTTTTTATAAGGGAGGACAATGAAAACAACCACTGCCCCCACACCCACCCCATCCAACAGCCAGCAAACATTGTTTGAGCTCCAGGACTTGAACATGAGTGAGACCAAGATTCTGGATAATTAACACATCCCCTGAGATGGATAACTGTACCCCAGGCTACGTAAGCAGATTTGTGCAGCACTGATAGACATTATTAGGGAGGACTGGGGAGGTTCCATAGACTGGAAGCAAGCAAATGTTCCTATATTCAAGAACTAAACTTGCCAACTATAAACCCATTACCCTGACTCAATAAATGGAAAAATAATGGACTCAATCATCAGAAAGGAAGTAGAAGATTAACTACATAAAAATAATCTAAGAATTGACAGCCAAAACAGGTTCAGAAAGGGTAGGTCTTGTCTGTCCAATCTCATAGTTTCTTTGAGGAGGAGACAGCCAAGTAGACTGCAGGAAGCCATATGATGTAGTATATCTAGACTTCGAAAAGGCATTTGACAAAGTACTTCATGATAGACTGATTCACAAACTCTGGTCACTGGGCATTAAGGGCAAGACATGAACGTGGATTCAGAATTAGTTAAAGGGAAGAAAATAGAGGGTTTTTTGTTTGGGGAAAGATATTAAGGGGAATGCCTCAGGGGCATGTTCTCGGACTGCCTCCTGTTCCTCCTATATATTAAGAACTAGATTTGCAGACCCAGTGTAAGATAGTTACATTTGCAGATGACACCAAATAGAGTTGGGAGGAAATTGGCTTCAGATAAAGCAGAAAAACCCTGCAATGAAAGCTTCAAAGGAGATGCACTTGCTGATAAATGGCAAATTAAATATAATACAGATACATGCAAGGTATTACATGTAGGATGCAAGAATAGGAAACATTTCATGGATGGGATAGAACTTGCCAGGGGGAAATTGAAAGAGACCAAGGAGTATTTGTTGACTCATCACTCACTGTATCAGTAGAGTGTGAGGCAGCAATAAACAAGACAAACAGGTTGCTGCGCTATATTGCTAAATCAGTTGAGTTTAGATCCCTGAACATCATGTGGTACAGTGCCCTGATCAGACCGCACCTTGAATACTGCATACAGTTTTGGTCATCGCCACATAAGGGGGATACCCAAGCCCAAGAGGCAGTGCAGAGGAGAGCAACGCGGATGATCCGCAGACAGTAGAACAAGAGTATACTGGATTAAAGTTGTAATGAGCAATTTCAAGACAGATACCAGGAAGTGTTTCTTTACTCAGAGGGCACTCGTCTTTCAGATGAGACATTAAACCAAGGCCCCTTGTGATGGTCATTCATTTCACAGCTGTTTGTGGGACATTGCAGGTCGCAAAATTGGCTACCGTGGATTTGTCCACAAACTCTCACTGTCCCTGCACTTTAGAGTAGCACAGTGCTTATTAGTGCTATCTTGCTATTTGTGCTATGAGACTCGCACTAGTGTTTTTTAGTGCCTCACAGCTTCCTAAAGCATTGTGAAGTACTCTAGAACATCCTCCCAATATGAAAGGCACCATACCAAATGTAAGAATTATTATTGCAATTGATGGACTCATTTAAAAAGTAGGTTAATGCCGTGATAGATTCTTCATCCAAACTAATCTTATGATTAGAAGTTTAAAGAAGGAGCCATTCACAAGCATGCTCTCCTGTGTAGTCCTTTCTGGTTAAGATGGCATCACCACCAACTTGGTGATCATAAGAATATATTATACTTTCCTGAGATCTTGGCCGATCAATAGAACGACTATTTCTTATTGGTCTCTGGTCCCAAACTCTCTGGAGAGTTTTACAGCAAAGCGAATTTGAGGTCAGCACTTTCAAAATATTTCAGACATACAGCAAATAGTACCACTCTCTTCCTCCACCCAGTAACACTCTAGTTCCCTTCCCCACAAACCCCTCCCCACCCACCCAAAAGAGCATCTTCTCCATGTCCATGCTGCAAAGGTGATAAAGATAGACATCTCCACATCATTGGGCCACAGTACAGAACATGTAACAAAGACTGCTCCTTACTAAAGTGTAGAAATGTATAATGGAGGACAGCACTCTTTTCATTGAAGCAGTACAACAAAAGTAGCAAGCAAATAAGCATTTAGTCGTCACTTGCAAGATTCTTTTTAAAAAGCCAGAGATTTAAAAGATTAAAAAGTAAAGAATAAGGAATTACAACCTAACAAAAGCAGACGGTGCGCTTATAATAATAATAATCCTTGTATTTGATATAGCGCCTTATCAGGTCTTCAAGACGTCTCAAAGCACATCACAGAATATACTGTAATGTGAATTGATTGTATATTTTGTGGGCGAATTATTTATAATTAAGAATGAGCAGCTTTTATTTAACAAACTGCTCCTTGCTCATATGATCAGTGTGAAGAGCACACACGCAGCTCTTGAAATAATTAAATTTGTCTTCACCTGACTAATTAAACACGACATACTGTATGTAGTTAGTTTTCTGCTAAATAAGTTCATTTTTAACAACCAAATCAATCTTCATGTCAGTGTTGTCCAGTTTGGCAAAATATAAATAAATTACTGAATAAATTATTTATCGAGACAATCAACAAAAGATTTCAATCGAGACAATCAGCAAAAGATTTCAATCAGCAAAACAATATCTCGCAATGCAAAAAATATTCAAAAAAGGAGAAAAAAAAACTAGTTATTAGTATAAAAATGTTCTCACTTCCCCACCCACCTGATTCACTCTGGAAGAACAGTTCCATTGTGAGCCATCCGATACATTGTCCAAGAGGCCATTCCTTACATCTAGACACGAGGATCATTGCAGCCTAGCCTATTCCAGAGCTGACATGCACAAACATTTCATCAGAGATGACTGCACGCTTTTTAGGAACATGAATCCTTTTCTGGTCCAGGTGTCCTCAGACCAACTGTAGTGCCCCCCCACCCCTACAACTGACCTGGCAAAGATAAGCTAACTCGGCACAGAACAAAGATCAGACTTGAGAACTTCCTTGTTGGTGTGCATAGCCCAGTTTCACACTGGGGCAACTGTTATCGCAACTTATCGGTTGGGAAACGTTAGCTCTTAAAGGCTGACATTAATGATTGTACATCTCAGGAAATTATCTTGTTTCAATAGTGAGTGACTAAGTAGCTTTGGGAACTGATTCACAGGAAATTAATTGAAGTGTTCACAATGACACATGTATAAGGGGTATTAAAGTTGGGGGAAGGGGGATGGGGGCTTCATAAATTAATAACATGAATATTTTTAAATTTGTCTTTTCTTGGGGAGAGCGGGAGTCTATTTTTTCAGCCTCCCCCAAAACAAGAGAAAATTAGAAAGGAAAATTTGACACACAAAATAAACATGTGCATATCCTCCCAAGTTGAAAGGCGCTATATAAATGCAATTTGTTGTTGTTGTGGAAAACAGGTTAATTCGATGAAAATAATAATTTATTTTGGAACATTTTGAAGCCACATGTCCTGAAACCAGAAATACCCAAATCGCCTTTAGTGATCATTTCTGAAACTTAAATGAGAGAGAGACAGGCTTCTCACTATCTATTCTGTCATAATCCCTCATAATATAAAAGTCTTCAAGAGGTCTCCTCTGAACCTTCTCTATTCCAGTGAAATAGGGTAATTTCCTCTAGTCTCTGCTGTTAGGTCCTCGATGGCAACTAAGCTCTAAGCATAGGACTAAAAGATTTTGAGTAACAGTGAGTCCACTCAGTCCATCCCTCTTTTGCAGTAAATAAAATGAGTACTATATCTATCAACACGTCCCAGGATGGGGGAAACAGATAAGTGAGGTTTCCCTGGAGTTGAACTGGCTCAGAGGAGATACACATGACAAACTGAGGCAGGTCTGCAGTAATCCTTGTTGATGTTTGAACAACTTAGGGGTGGAAAGCTGGTCAACACCATAAGGCCAATTCCTGACTGGCAAATACTGTGAAACTCCCCAATGCTTCATTACGGTAAGGTTTCTATTACTTACAATCTACAGTATTCAAAATTGTGTACAGAGCTATTAAACAGTAGCTCATCATCTCTTCCCCACATATCTGGTTTTCACTATTCTGTCCTGAGTGTGAAATGCACGAGAAGGGTTCGGGCTCATAATCCTACCGTGTAGGCATGGTCCAGAGCCTGTTTCCTGTAATCCAATTCTTCTTCCAAGTAGCCCTTCTGTTTGCTGAACAGCTCCTGGTTTGAGGGGAAAAAAACCTTAGCCAGAGTATCACCAAACCTGACAGCCCTCATCATTCAACCCTCATGACCTGCTTTCACTCAATGTGGCTACAAAGAGCTTGTTGGCAAAATGGCATCTCAAGACACCTTGAGACGTAGGGTGCATTCTACTCCACGTACCCCCACTGTATATCATACCAGCTCATAAACACCCAGCACTGACCAGAACACGCCTTGCAGTTGCACTCTTGCAAGTTGTTGTGTTATGTATGGCGTACCCTTATACTAAGAGCCAAAATAATTTTTATTCGCAAGGCATAATTTTAGCTGCTGTTTCTCCAATTGATGCTTTTTAAGCTCAATTGGCTCATTACCTCCCTCCTATGGTTTCTAACAAATCCTTTTTACATTTTCAAGTGCTGTTAATGTATTCGAATAATTTAGGGCAGCATAAAATATTTGTTCAGGCCGCAGTCGTTTAGGGGATAAATCGCACTTGTTTTGTGCACTGATGTACTCAGTGAATGGAACAGCACAAATGCTCTGCCATTCCAAACACATTGGAAGGTTATTTTATATTTCTCCCCACCATCAGTGTCCAGGTTTTCAACTTATCTACCCCCTCCCCGTGGAACACCATCCTGGAGTCTCTATGACTCGACCCTTCCCTCGCCTCCTTCAAGCTCCACCTCAAGACCTTTGCTTTTAACGACACCTTCAGTCATCTTTTTCCCCCTCCACCTCCCTCTTCCCCCACCCCCAGCTCAGGTACTAACTCTGGACTGGGCAACTTGAGAGGCCTCCTCACGGGAAAAGTGCTATAAAAAAGTAAATTTGTTGCTGTGGTTGTTGTCATTATTTGACGATCGGAAAGTACTATAGGCAAGTCAAAGCCTCAACCCCCTCCCACTTGCTGTGATCCTTGAAAGACAATCACTCTCCAGTGGGAGTCACAAGATATTAATTAGTAGTGGCAATGATGATCCAGGATGCTCCAAGCTAAGATCACTTTTTTCAGTGTGTAATAATATAAATAATGATCTTTGCAATTTGATATAGCCCCTTATCAAGTAAAACTCAAAGTCTTTCACTGAATTTTTGGAACGTGTAGTGACTGTGTGTTTGTTGATGTATTGAACCAAGGATTGAACTCAAAAATGTTGCTCATCTGTATGGGTCTAGTACAATTACTCAATAATAATAATCCTTGAATTTGATCTAGCGCCTTATCATGTCTTTGAGAGGTCTCAAAGCAATTCACAGAATATACTGTAAAGTGAATTGACTGTATATGTTTTGTGGGCAAAACTGAACACAGAATCTTTTTAGCTAATGGTGAAATATACTGCCTCATGTAAACTGAGCCATCACAGACTTTGAAGGTAGCAATTTGCCGACCACAGTTAACTGAACTCAGATGAGGCAGCAATGGAGAAAAACCGTAGGAAACAATGTACTCAGCCCCCTGTGCCAGCAAAAATAAAAATATCAGGCAGGGTTTCCCATTCCTGAGTGCTATCCAGTGACACCATAGGTGTGTTGACTTATATTTGTGATCAGTTAACTAGAGTCCCCTAACTACTATCTTCAAGGTCTGTGTGGCTCAGTTTCGACCCTATGCAGCATTTTTCAACCGTTAGCTAAAAAAATACTGTGAGAAGCATCCCTGAATCCTTCCTCAGTGTGTAATTGCCCGTGTGTGGTGATGAACCATACAACCCAACAAATGGCCTACTGAGACTCATTGGCTGTGCATTCACACAAAGTCTACTTCAGCACGAGTCAGTGCTTTCAGAATAAGAGGGCAGAAAAGAGGAAAAGGAAAATAAGATATAAAAAATGCCTTGTGTTGGTGCAATACACAGATATTTGGAAGACATTAATACTGTGCAACCATTAAAAATAGGGGAATTTTTTACAGTATACCTCAATTAGTGGTGGAATAACAGATCTGTGTTAATTTAGAGGCCACATTTTACAATGTTTAGAGCGAAACTAAACAGTACGAGATGCACTTAGTGAAATACACTATGGAGCCACTAGATGACAGTGCTCCCTCTCAGAGCCGACAGTGCTTTACACTGGCATTAATTAAGGAATACTACAAGTTTCATCCTAAACTCAAAGAGAATGCACCTGTAGACAGGTACTAATATCTGGGACTTTAAGCTCACAGTCTAGGTTGACACTTCACTGCTTGGGAGCACTGCATTGTTGGAGGTGCCGTCCTTCGGGTGAAGCGTTAAGCTGAGGTCCTGTTCAGGTGAATATTAAAGACCCCAAGGCACTATTTGAAAAGAGAAGGAAGTTTCTTCCAGGTGTTCTGTCCAGCACGTAAAATTGATCATTCACTTCATTACTGTTTGTGGGACATTGCTGTGCACAAATTGTCTGCTACATTCACTTATAATTACAGTCACTACATTTTTCAACAAAATCCTGTGAAGCACTTTGAGACATCTCAACGAAGCGATAAGGTGATATAGAATGGAAAGATTATTATCTTATCGTTTATCCCGCAAATTGTGCAAGTCAGCCAATAAGGGGTTTTGAGTGTTCATCTTAAGATGGTGCTCATTTAGCAAGTTCCAACATGTCTGGATTTAATATCCCAATAATCTAACAGGTCCCTGTTCTAATGCCAGGCTCGACGTGTCCCTAGGGTCTAATGTACCTTTTCATTCTCCAGGTCCAGCATCTTCTGATGGAGCGCAGCCTCTGTGCCTTCAATTTGGTTCAGCCACTGTAAGTTTCGAGGAAGCACAGCAGAGATGAGTGAGTTACATTTTAACATCATAACCAGCAAAACAATGACACAGGTCTGGGGCATTTTAAACAGATTATGATGGTAATATCACAACTTGTAGAATAGCTCAATTATACAAGATCTCTTTCAGAAGACTCAATTCATTTTATTTATAGCTGGTAGTAGAATTTTGATGTACAAAGCTATGCTTGTTATTTGTCTTTAAAATTCTGTTCAATATAGTGCCTCATGTATCTTTTTTTAATAAGCAAATTTTATATCTTAAAGGAACACTCCAACATGGCAAATGTAGGGCCTTTTTTATTCCTTATTAAAGCCACACATTATTTTCATCAAGACAACCACCTGTGGAATTGATTCCCATCTTTGCTCTTTGTTTTGTGAAGACAAAGTTGCCCTTTTAAATGGAAGGGGAGCTTGCGATGTAACACAAGGTTACTGTCTATATTCCAGGACTTTGCTTTCACTGAGAACAGCAGTCAAGAGACAGATGCTGCCCTCAAAGGGATGTCGCTTGTTGCATGTTTTGATACATAGGCTTAAAGTGAGACCATCTTTAACAAAATGCATCTAACAACCTTTTTTAATTTAAGAGGTAGAAGATCCATGTGCGATACATAATATGTAAGTGGCACATTGGTGCAGTGACAGAACTTATACCATTGCACCATGCTTTTCAATACCTAAAGACATGGTTGAAAAAACTAAAGGCCAGATCTTCATGTCAGCTTCATGTATCAAGAGATGAGAGACTGTAGATAAGAAGTAAATTCTCAACACACACTATGGGAAGGACACAATAAATGGATCCAAACTAATTTTACTTCCGGATTTTATTTGGTTGTGAAGGCATCCGAAATGAACATTTTTCAAACCTTGCTTCCAGAAACAGCAGTGAACTCATATTCCAGCTGCAGCGCAATTTAATGCCACTGGAAGCTGGGCTCCCTTTACACCACACTTAAAAGAAACCATATTCTTTTGAGGATTACAATTACAATTCAGGATCAAAATTCCAACAGAGAGACTCCATTTACTTTTATTCCCAGGAGACTAGAAACCTTTTATGGATCACTAAATTGACATAATACTACTTTTAATATTCATCCGTAATGTGTCTCACTAATATAGCTGTCAATCTGCAATAAAGTGCTGAACTTAATTTTTTTTACTAAGTTAAACAGCACAAGAATTACAGTTAGCTCTAATATCTTTTATTTGAATTTCACTGTTAAAAAGATTCTCATGAATAATTAAGGAAAGGTGCAATCCTACTCAATAACTGTATGTCCCTGTCACATAAAGTTGTTGAGATGGAATCAGGAGGGGTATTTAAAAGAGGGACTTACAGGTATTAAGGGATATGACAAAATTGGGCATTGGGTTAAAAGGGTTAAAAGATCTGCCAAAATAAAATAAACGTCAAGCAGCTGCTCAATGGACTGAAAGGCCTCTTCCTGGTTTCTGTTTTCCCATATTCCTGAGCTTTCAAGCTTTCAATGTACTTTGTATGTTTATACACCTATCTATAGTTACACATAATTTTAATAATGGCCAAGAATATTCAGTATATTCATATTTCTGCTACTGAATATTCTGTTAATCAAAGCTAAGGCAACGATTGCAACAATAACTAATTATGGCTACCTCACTCAGTACAGAATTGTTTTGAGGAAACAGAGCAACTGATCTCAACTCCAATATGTAGCCCATGTAGAGAACAAATACATGGGAAAGTCATTGAGAATAACTGCTCAGTTGCTGCTTGTAAACTGTGCTAAAGTCAGAGTACTAGTGTACCCTTCAATGTTCTTGAGCAATGTTCTTGTGCTAACCTTGACTCTTTCCCTCACAAAGGCTTTGATAATTGTGCATGAATGTGTTCATATGTTTAGCAGAAATGCAGCAGGAAATTTTAGGATATAAATTAATACACTTTAAGAAGTTAACGATTTTCTCGTGGAACAAATGTATTCTATGCTGAAATCCACTTAAAACGCAATATTAGATAACAGATAACAGAACGTCTGCCCTGATCACAGAAATATTTTGCCAAAGCGAGATTATATCTTCATAATACATTAAACAAAGGCTACATACAACATCCATCAGCACGCACTGTTACCAGCAATGTTTATTAGACCCGAGCAGCTTAATTTGATTCTCATTTTACAACTGGAGTGAGATGCTCTTCTCAGAAGCCCATGTTTTGCTATGACAGCATTTCTCTAGATGAGGACCTTCTTGCTGCAAGGAGACAACAGCTACTCTGCAAATGCACAGCCACATGTGAAAGTCGTCGCTGTAAAGGGAGTTTCATTGCCACACAGCTCATTACTTAAAGGTTTTAGTGCTGCCAACTCTGTCTGCCCAGAGTGAACGCTTGGCGCTGAACTCAATTATTACCCAAGGGATAAAGTCAGGTGCTTCTAATTGGGGATAGGTTTCTCAGGTGCAGATCTTGCCCTTGGAATGCTGAGAGTGCAAGCTGCTCTGTAGAGAAAGCAAACAAAGTCCTTGAGAATAATTCAATGAACTGGCATATTTGACACATGTGTTGTGCGTGAAATAATAGATATGAACATGCCTTGGGTCCTGCTTCAGCAAAACATTGCATTTTATATCCTGTGTCTTAAGAACCATTCCAGTTTATACAATGTATATATTCTTGGGGGCACTTACCAGAATCAGCGATATCGCGCAATCTCAATATCTTCCAAGGACTCCACTGTACAAGTCTCGGCCACTCATGCAAATGTTTCAGACTGTGAAGATCTGCTTCACAGCATCCATCAGCCTGGAGGTTGAATGCGATCTTCTCCTTGAAATTCTTGATGTTATGAAGTGCTTTTAGATATCCAGTCGGGCTCTGTCTTGCAAGAGGTAGCACTCAGAGACTCACATGTGAGCCTTAACATGTCATATTTTTAGGTAAATGAGTCCATTAGGTAGAGTTTCTAACTCGGCACTGGTCAGCTTGCTTTAAGGAGTCCCTTAGTACCAAAAATGTAGTAGTTTTAATTGGTTAAACTTGGCTTTAAGTACTGCCAAGTATTAAAACAAAGTATGTCTTTAAATCTCACTCGGGAGCTTCGCTAATGCTACTCTGATATTGTCGAAGTTCAAACTGAGGATGCAGCACAAAATCAACCATGGTATCTTAACGGTGTTGTGTGAAAATGATCAGCAAATCATTGCCAGCCCAATAACATTTAACACGCGTGCATACACACACACTTTGCTGATCTGTCAGGTACATTTTCTAATAAATGTTGAAACTTACATCCACTTAAGAATGGTCTTTTACCAGATTGTTTCCGTTTAGTGTGAAAATACTGTGTATTGTTAGAACAGTTTAATAAGATACAGGCACATTGCAATTACATACATCAAGCCTGACTCAGGTGGTAGCAAATTTCACTTCTAGGTCAGAAGGATGTGGGTTCAAGCCTTACGTCAGGATTTGAATTCATTGGTCTGACTGATGTTCTTGTGCAGTGCTGGGGGGAATGCTGCATTGTCAAAAATACCTTCATTGGGATGAGATCCTAAACCAAGTTAGTCCTCTGTCTGCTTTTAGATGGGCGTTAAAAGATCCCATTCAACTGGCCAACAATCTTACAGATTAATTTGATTTGGGAAAATCTGATAACTACACCATTTTTCCTACAAAACCAATCACTACACTTAACAGTAATTGACTGTGAAGCATTTTTTTATGTTTTTGTGACCCTGGAAACATTTGTAACATGAGGCGGTATAGAAATACGTATTTTTTCTTTCTAAATTGTGGTGCTATTTTTGGAGGTTTCCTGTGCACACAGCCATAGTCTCCTTCCTAGATACATTACCATCTTTATCATTGATTACCTTTATTGCACAGTGAGGGTGAAGGGCATTTACAGATAATTTAACCAGGTTTGGAGAAAGAAGTGCACAATAACATCATTGTAGAATGGCTAAAATTCTTTTCTTTTCTTTATACTTTAAAATTAAACCTATTACAAGATCTATATGTAAGTACTTCCTCATCTACTGCTGATCTATTTCCTCTAATATCTGCCCCCAACAGTACAGAAAAAATGTGTCCCTTGTTTTACAGTATTTATTCCTCTCATTCCGTACAACTCCAACACTGTCCTCAAGCAGGTACTTATCCAATGAGTTCATCAACCAGCAGCAACTATTTTACCTGGTGTCTGTTCACATAATTACTACTCAGTGGGGAGAGAGAAATAGTTTAACTTATCGTTAAGTTTCCTGAAACATATGTGCAACCACAGTACTATTTCTATTCATAAAATATACAGTTCATTCACATTACCGTAATTTATGTTCTGAGAAGTGCTTTGAGTGATAAGGCAGTGTATCAAATGCAAGGATTATTATTTCCATGGTAACTCACTGCATTTTTTAAAAAAATAAAAGATTTGCTCTTTCTTTCCACAATAGATAGGTAGTTTCCTAATTATTTACAGTTCACAAGATCAGTTCTGGTGTGGAAGGCCCGTCAGGTCATTTGATCTCATTCTTCCACTTTATCCTATTGTCTTCCCATTAGCTTCTTAAATTAGTCAAGCATCCTGGCCTCAACCACCCTTCTTTGGTAACCAAATCCAGTCATGAATTACTCTCTGGGTAAAGAAATACTTCTTGGTATCTCCTGAAATTGCCCCTTGCAAGCCTAAACGTGTTTGTTGTAAGATGGTTTACTTACGCTCAATAGGATTGTTTAGTAGCAGAATAAGGTTTTGAGAAAGTGTTTACAAGGTATAAAATTTGAACCTCAGCTGTCCTTCCTACCCCACATTTGGTCTCTGTCCAGAACGGCTTTCACCTACCTCCGCCTCCAACCCTATCTCACACCAAATGCCGCCGAATTCCTCAGCCGCTCCATCTGTCACCATCCACCTTGATTTCTCAATGCACTTCTCATTGGTCTCCCCAGTTCCACCATTCACAAAGTACACCTCATCCAAACTCTGCCACCTGCATCCTCACCCACACCAAAATGCAGACACCTTTCACCCCACTCCTCACTAGGCTCCACCGTCCCCTCTGCCTTCAAATGAATCACTTTCAAGATCCTCATCCTCACATACTTTACACCTTCCCTGCCTCTCTGATCTGCCCACCTCCTTTGCTCAGCTAACATAAGCATGGTGTATGACCCATGAACTATTTGAGTCAGTATCAGTGGTCTTGCTTTCAGCCACTACCCTCCTAATCTTTGGAATTCCCTGCCTCAATTCTTCTGGCTCATCCCCTCTCTATGTTTTTAAATTCAACCTGAAAACCTACCTCTTCGACCTGCCTGTGGCCACTTCCCCTTCCTCCCTTGCTTGGTGTCCAACCCCATCACTTTACAGCACTCTGAGACATTATCCTTCGTGAAGGGCACTTTATCAATGCCAGTTGTTGTTATAGACCATAGTCTTGATTAACAATACAAGCAAGCTGGTTATGGGACAAAAAATATCGATCTTGTGCTGGAAAGAATGCTTTGTATATAGACACAAATTCTATGTGTTTTCACTGGGGCAAAAGTACCAACACATGTACCTATATATGATGCAATTACATAACCAATAGCCTCATCCTCTGCACGTACATTTCACATAGACTGTTCTTTATAAAATCATTATCTGGTGTTTACCAAATGGTAGCATCTCAATGAGCACAGAGCTTCAGGACAATGAGCCCATTTACAAACACAATTCTCCACTCAGTGGGTCCTCTGACCTTGTAAGGCTGACAGAAAAGAGGTGCCAAGCAAAGGCTGGCCAATTTCACCCATCGTCGGAGGGGCAACAAAGCATGCATTTCTCATACACCTCCCAATTAGGTCTAAAATGCACTACTTGTAAGGAGAAGTCACAAATACTGACTCCTGCTGGTAATTGGAAGTGCATCACACGAGCTTGCAGGAACTTCACAAAGGAAGCAGACTAGATCGGAGCAGAGTGACTCACATTCATATCTGCGAATGGAAGTGCAGGGATCTAAGTATCACTGAGAGAAGTCAGGAGAAGATTGCACCCCGGCGTTCTTCATAAGAAATACTACAGGATATTTCGAAACTGAATCTAATACAGTGGAATGCTATTATAGCCTCCTTTGATATAGCACTGTCTCATTTACAGCATTGGTGTTCTGTGTACCCACACTAACTAGAAGCATGGTATATGCCTTGGGACAGCCTCCCAATGTGAAAGGCACTATACAAATGTAATTTTGTTGTTGTATACCTTATTGCTTGTAGTTTCTCAACTACATCCTAAAATAATGTCCAGTTGTCAGATTGCTATCACCATTGCTTTCTGCATGTTACACACATGACTGCTATGCACAGGAAGTGTCGCTTATATCATTTTGCGAAGGAAGTGACATTCAGTGACACTTCATACAGAGTTCAGAAAGTGGCAACTTGACAAGCTGGAGGTTGGCCACTTTACAGCATATCAATAAGATATGAGATTAGTGGGGAAGCAATTTACTTAAAGGGAAAGAAAAATAACGAATAACAAATGACTTACCTGACTTATTTAAATGAAGCTACAGAAATTAAAAATGTCTCAAGTATTTGTTTTATGCATTGCGTTTACAGTACCTCTGCTGATCTGCCTTCAGTTAACAATACATTCGGGCTTTACAGTATTTGCAACAACAACATAAAAATTATGGAACTGAAGGAAGTTACTCATCAACACAAAGAAACATAATGACAAGGCACTCGGAAATGAACTCAGTGACATCTGCAACACATCATTACTCACTGCTGTTCAGAGCAATTTGTAGAAAACAAAAAAACTAGACACCAGGGTTTTCATTGTGTTTCGTATGAAGAATGATAAAATTGGTTTGGACATGCTTTATTTTGTCAATAAGTGAACATGATGCAATATTCACACACACAGAGTTGGGATGCGAATGGACTGCAGCGTCACACAGCAAACAATCGTGATGGAGAAATGTACCTTCTCACAGAGCGAAAGCACAGTGCGAGCTTGAATTACTGCAACCTGCTCTTCGTTTCTGAGATTCTGAAACACAAAGACATGCGTAACACCCTAAGATCAAGCTCACAACTGAAAGTTAACCAAGTCAGCCCAATGCAGACTGGAGCCCAAAATTAAACTTCTTGGGGAAGGGAATGCGAGTCCTTAAGACGCTCATTAATATCTTTCCTAAGAGACACATTGACTCTGAAACATAGGAGAATTTCGGTGGTACTGTGGTTTAGTGCACTCTTACTTTCACCTCCAAGACTTGGGTTCAAATCCAGGCAGATATGTTACCTCAGCAGTATATAAAAAAAGTTGAAAAAAGTTCCATTCTCCAACTCTGACATAGCTCATACTAATGAGAATCAACTCAAAAAGGCCTTTGTTTTAAAGACAGGCAAAAACAACCCATGGGCTTATAAGAACAGGAATGCTTATATGCGATACAGTGCCTTTCAAGTCGGGAGCTTGCTTCACAGAATTTTCTGTAAAGTGTAGTGACTGTGTATTTTGTAGGAAGAAACAGCAGCCAATTTGCACATGGCAAAAGTCCCACAATCAGCCATGAAGTGCATGAGTAATTTTATTTAGGGGATTGTTGGTCAGGACAGCGGCAGAAATTCCCCTTTCTTTTCAAATAGCGCTGTGAGATCTTTAACAACCACCTGAACAAGAAGAGGATGCCTTGTTTTAACGTCTCATCCAAAGGACAGCGCCTCAAGCAATGTCAGCTCCCCCAGTACTGCATTGGAGTCTCAGCCTGGAGTGTGAGTTCAAAGTCTCGATGTGGAGCATGAACCCACAATCTTCTGACTCAGAGGTGAGAGAACAAGGTTGTGATAAAGTATAGTAAGATGCTAAATATTTGAAAAAAAAGGAAATGTAGTTGACCAAGGGTCACATATAGCACATACTGACGGATCTAAACTCAACAACTGAACAATATACTCGGCTACAAAATACACAGAGGATATAGTGGAGAATCATGTTCACTTACAAAATACACAGATGCAGCACTCCAGAGTAAAGTCTGTAAAGCGTTTTGAGGCATTTCAATGACGTCATAAGGTGCTATATCAAGTGCAAGGATTATTATTAGTGAGAGGTGTAGTGGGTGATCTGGAGGAGAGTCTGGAATGAAAGGATATTGTGTGTGATCACAATGGGGGACCTTTGCTTTCTAAAGCAACCTTACCCCATTATCTCCCAGGATGTCAAGCTTCTTCATTAGGTCGGGGATAACCACATCCTGGAAGAGAGGTGCCTGTTATTAACAAGGAGTTAATCAGTGCGAAAATTACCACAATAATAACTAGATCCTGTAATTATCTTGCCTGAAAGTGCAAACTATTGAACATTCACTGCTTCTCTTCAACAGACTTTTATTTTATTAATTCAAAATTAATCCAGATGTTTCCAGCTAAAGCTTTGCAGAAAGGGCTCCTTTGTTGATATTGCACAGAAAGCCACAGACTTAGATGAAACACACATTTGGGCAACTCATTTTGAAGCATATTCCTAGTACACCCTTGTGTCTACCAGCTATTTCCTTCAGATTTTCAGACATTGCTTCAGGCTATAGGAACCCACTTTATTCTTTTTCTTCCTGTATTCAATGTGCTTAGCACCACTGAAGTCAGAATGGTGTACGGCTTTTTTAAGCTCTTCCATAGATTGTGGTCTTGGTGTATACTCAGTTTGACTTTTCATCAAATATCAGGTTTGGACCACAATATTCCAGGTTTGTTATGTTTCTTGTATGCATGAGTTTATTTCACTTGTTAATTATGTCCTTAAGGGAAAATCATACTATTTCTGTTGCATTTCTTATTGGAAACAATACAAATGATCTCTAGAAATATACACTTTTAGACAAGTGTAAGCAAAGTAACATCTTCAAGCATGAGGGTTAATAAACAATTCCTATCATCTGGCTTTTAAACATTGCCTCTAAAAATACCCACAAGCATATTAAAGTGAAATTGTTTGGTAATGTGATTTTCTCAAAAGGCACACACACGCACACTGGTAACAAGACTCTCTCTTTCCACTGCATTCTTGACTGAAAATGAGTATATCTTTTAATAGGATACATTTATTACATTATTACAGAAATCGTACTGAATATCACATTACCTCACAGAACATTCCTTACACTGCACATGATGTGTGGAGCATGACAATGATCCATACAAGACAGATTAGTTTAATGGCTAGCCACTGTACACGCGACAGGCCTGAATGAGAAAGCACTTGCCTTAATACCCTCTTGTTGGCAGTAGAGCTGCAGAGCACTTCCACTCTCAGAGAATGCAGATATATGGAGGTTATAAGCAGGGGATCTTCGCTCTCGCTCCTATGGAATGGAAATGTTTTACACCCAGTCAGTTTTTTTTCCCCCACATTAGGATCAAAAGAGCCCAACAATATTCCAGAAGCACAATTCACAATTGAGAATAATCTTAGGCAAACATTGTGTGATTTGTTGTTAATTGCTGCTACACACACCACTGCTTTTTGTCCTTTGCTTTTAATTCACTTGATGCCTTGCTGCTTGTTTTAAAGTAATGCAAACTGACTAAGTAAGATAGCTCTGATGGGCTGAAATACTATTTTAATGTATGATAACTATCTTAAGAAAGCAAGAAGTAAAAAGATCACTGCAGCGGTAATCTAACCCGATATCCTTCTTAAAGCAAATGCCATTTAAAACAAGACTGTTGTAAGTGACAGACTCAACTTTGGATTCAGTGATTAAAGCATTTTTGCAGTTAAAGGCAAGGGAAGACATTATTACAATCCCTGCAACATAACAGACAATTTAACACTGTTATTAGGTTAACATTATATATCCATACTTACTTCACATCTTGCTTATAGGATGCTGTTGAAATGAACCGGATGGTAAAGAAGCAGAGGGACATTGGAACAAAATGGGTTTCAGTGGAGTCATGCTCAGAAGCAGGGCATCTCCCCCAAATGATGGTAAATAATAGATCACATGAAAGAATGCAAAACAAAACAAATAAAAAACAAAGCTTTTGGGTTAGTGTTTCTGCATACCTTGAAAATACAAGGTTTGCACCTGTAAATTTATTATTTTTATTGTGAATGCAACAAAGTTATGACAAAAACAAAGATCAACGAGAGTGTTCCGATGAGTGGTTCATGGACTACAAGGACTGACAACACATACTAACAAATAGCCGCTAGAACAATTGCAGACTGAGAATCTGGAATAGTTCAAGAAACTAGGCTCTAAGCTTGCAGGAAAAGTTACCTTTCTCTTTCAAGATTAACAGCTCTCTTGCTTGGTACAGTTTCCCCAATATATTCCCCCGATCAAAAATGTTTGCCTAGGCTTCTGTGTGTACATAGGAAAACTATAGTTTAAAGAAAGGTCTTGCATCATATCATATTTCTGAATTGCAGTTTCCCAAGTTTTTCACAGTTTCTGCACATTAGTGTATGGTGCATGAAGGGCTCCAGTGTAAATAAGGGACGCAAACAGTACAGTGAGTGTGCTACAAACTGAATCAGTATGAAATATGATAACTGTAGGCAAACCCAAGCCCCCATGTCATAGTGAATGAAAGAACAATGCAGGGTTAATGAAACACAACAATGAAATGCAATTAGTAGCAAAAAACAAAATAGTTGTTTTTTTATTAAGTGCAAAAAAAATTATAAATTAGACTCTATTTGTACAATTCAAATCATCCTCTAGACAATTAAAAAATATCGGCAAAGCTGTTGATTATACCATAAACTGAGGCAGTGAAACAGCGAGACTCGGTTTAAAGGCAGTGCTCTTTAGCACACCAAAATCCAAAATGGCTACACTTGGAATTACTGTATAAAAGTTCTCCTTTTGGATTCATAAACAACCTCCGCTCCATTTGGCACTTTACAAATGGAATGTCTTACTTCCAGCTCTAAGATTCTGAACTCTAACAGCTCATTCTGGTCCTTCGCATCTTGCATCTCTCTCTGCATCTTACATTCTTCGTTTTCCAGCTTGTGAATCTGCAAGTAAAGGTGAAGCAGATGTGAGCACATTTACTGTCTCACTGGTTCTGGAATCCACCCGACTGTGAAAGTAACTTAGGTCTGAGCTACCCTTTCTGAGCATTTTTTACATTACGATAAGTCTAATTTCCCCGAGTTAAGAGATCTCCTGCAGGTCTCTGCACAGCAATGCCAGGGACATGACTCTCTTTAAAGAATTCCAGGGTCAGAGTAACAGCCGCTCCACATTTTTCAGTGACACGGTGTTTAAAAACACTGCTTTGGTAAGAAATTGTAGGATTACAGACATCTCACCAGTGGAAAAAGCTCTCTACATCTGAATCTGTATCAGGGAGTACCTTTTATGTCAAGCCGACTCATGAGACCTTGGCTCTGACCGAAAATCCCCTCAAGAGTTGAGGTCTCGGGAGTCGATGGGATATATATGGGTTTCTTTGCCTGAGACACAGTTTACAAGGTGCCTTATCTGGTGCCAAATGTGCTTTTGCAATCCCCCAAACCTTGTTCTACAACTCGTACAGAACTTACATAAAACAAACACTGCTTAAGTCAATACAAAGCGACAAGGGATATTGAGAACTAATTATCACAGCTTCAAGTTAAAAACATGGGCGTCAGCTACCTTAACACCCATTTGGGCCCCAAGTCACCCAGGAAAGCAGGATTGTTTGGAGTTATCCCATCTTAGCTGTCGTACTAATTGAAGTACTTCATTGAACCTCATGTTGACTTGGTTTGAGAAAGAAAAGGGAGGGGAGTAAGGTAGAATTCCTGTTCTTGATCACTAACCAGAAATTCCTGCTGATAGGACAAGAATGGGGATTGGCTGTGACCTCCCTATGGTCAAACTGCTGACTCTCACTGTCAATGCTAACTGAATAATGACCGCTGGGGTGATAATAATAATAATTCTTACATTTGATATTGCACTTTTCACATCAGGAGGACATCTCAAAGCGCTTCACAGGATATACTTCAAAGTCTGTGTAATTTGTAGGCGAACCCAGCAGTCAATTTGCACACAGCAATGTCCTACAAACAGCCATGAAGTGAATGCCCAATTTTATTTGGGGGATTGTTGGCCAAGGCACGGGAGAAACTATTTAGTCTTTTTGAATAGTGCCGTGGGATCTTTAACAACCACCTTTCACAAAAATCACCCTTGTGCTGTAAAATGCAAAGTTGAGGGAATTTTATATGAAAACAAATAAATTAAAATTTGCATGCTCGGCTGGTTCAGCCCTTTGTGCTGTGGCTACAAAGTATGGTCCATTTCATGAATTTGTAGCTTGCGTGCATTAAAATGTCAAGTACAAAACAGTAGACTTATTTCCTTTGATCATAATGCAAGTCACGCTCCCTTTCTTTACCTCAAGATGTTTCAAGCTGTGAAGTAGAAGATGGCCATTAAACCGGTGTATGAAGCGAAATGCAAAATCTCGTACTTCAGTCAGAAAATACATAGTGTCAAACTGAAGACCGAGTGCACAAGAGTAAATCCAGAGTGGCTTTGGCCCTTTCACTCCAATTGTGTGCAACTTACATGGCCTTACAATCATAACCTCAGCTGTGTCTCCCTACAGAGATCCCGAGGGTAGTTTGATGCTATGATGGGATTGCTGATAAGGTGGGTATTCTTGAGGGATGAAATCAAATGCAATTCAAATCAATCTTGTGACATTGTGAAAGGCTAGGTATTTTCATATGGGTTGGCGAGGGGAGTCAATACCAAAAATAATTAAAGCATCATTAGGGCAAGTATAGTCAGGCAGATATTTAGAGCATTTCCAGCAGCTATATACAAAGCAGCAAAGCCAGAGGCCAGGGCAGGTGTTCTAGCCACCCCCAGACCAGAGGTACATTAGGCACTGAAGGAAATTTCAATGGTTTTTCACTAAGAGACGATCAGTACTCAGACAGTGTTACTACACAACAGCAGCAAATGCAAGATCTCTGAGAAATAAAACATCAATTTTAGCGAGAACAGAAGGTAGTGCACAGCCCGCAGTAGGTGCAAATAGTCATATTAAGTCACTTGACTACCTTGCCATATGAGGTTAGTTCAAATGAGCATGAAGAGCTCTTCTCCCAGCTGGCAAAGTTGAGGTTGTTAAATGAAAATATTGACCGTCTCCACGAGAAAGGACAAAAGACAAGGAACCAATGGACAAAAGGCCAGAAAGTACAAGCACTGGGTCATTTACCTTCTCTGCCAGTTCCTGGTTGTTTTTAAAAAGTAACTGTTTTTCTTCCACCCATTTTGAGTCCTAAAAATATACAAACGGCAAGAACAAAAAAGGAAAAAGTTAAAAAAATTATAAAACTGCCCCGCAAAGAAAAAACGCCAGGATATACCTTCACTGTCACTGCAACGAGCAAAAAATCCAATTATTGTGTTTTGAAAGGATAAAGAACATTTATTAAAAAAATAAAATATATTAAGACTATATATTTAGAGACATAAAGGAAATATAGTCTAACTGTTGACCACAGATGCTGCTCAAGTATCCATCTAAGCTCTGCTACCACTAAATTTTCTTTTTAAAGTAATGCAACTTTTTTTGTCCCTCTAATGGTGAAAATATATTTTTAAAGTAGATACTTTTAAAGATACTAGAAACAGACTTCACCGAGAAATACAAGATGCATTCATTTACACACTTCTTTGTGCTCCCTCAACACTGAGCCATTGAGGTCACCAGCAACAGATAAGCAATGATACAACCAGTCCTGTCTTACTATAACAGTCCTCAGTCACTTGCACTGAAAAGGACTTGAAGCAATAAATAGAGTGGAATTTTTATTTCATAAAACTGTTTGTGTTTCTACATACTGTAACACACTGGTTCAACAGAAAGCTCTACTTACATATCTCAATAAATGGAGGGAGGATGGAAAAAAAAGATTCCGCACAGAAACTGAAATAATTTAAGATCAAATCCATGAAAATCACAGCAAGCCAAATAAAAGCAGGACCTTCTAGAAAATGTGGCCGATTCAAATTCTATATTAGCAAAAAGCACAGAGGTAGTGAAATCCAATGCAAGTCAAAACATAACCTTAGTGTTGACTGTTTTGTACAGTAATAGCCTGTTAGATGAGATTTTCTAGAGAACAGTTCATTGCCAATGATTCTATATTTCAAAAATTGAGGAAAGTAGGGGAGAAGTGTACTTTGTACTGAAGTCACCTGGCTATCTATTTTAAAACTACAGAAAAATCCCATGAAGGTGTAGATTAATAAACCTAGAGCTTGCCAGCCCTGGTAATACACTATGTACAAGCATGGCAGTGTGCAATCAGAATGTGAGAAGGGATTTTTTTTCAGGGAGAAACTACATTTATCGTATTGCATGGATTAGGGAGGCAACCCAAACACAAATTCAATTTACGTCAACTCAATTTGCATCCCTACCAACCTGCCCGCTCCCTCCGCTCCACTCATCAGGCTCCAGCCTGCTCCATGTCTCCCGCCTGACCCGCCCTACCATCAGTGGTCAGGCTTTCAGCCTCTCTGCCCCCACACTCTGGAACTCTATCTCACGGTCCCTTTGCCTCGCTTCCTCCCTTGCATCCTTTAAGACCCTTCTCTTCGACCATGCCTTTGGTCTCCCTCCCACCTCTCTGCCTTCCCTCACCCCTACACCACCCTCCCCCATGCTCGGGCCCCGACATCAGTGCTTTGGGATGTCCCCCCGATGTGAAAGGCGCTCTATAAATGTAATTTTGTTGTTGTTGTTGTATGTGAATAATCCCTTGCATCTAAAAATTGCAAACACTACATAATTACTGGATAGTATTAAGTTAGGTTTAATGGACCGGAGAAATTTCAAAACTCACACACAAATCAGAGTAGGTTATAGACCTTTGTGTTTATGAGTGCTACAGTTTTCCATGACTGTTTGTGGAACACTGCTATGCACAATTGGCTGCTGTGTTTTGTCTACAAAATAGTCAATTCACTTTACAGTATATTCTGTGGAGCACTTTGAGATGTCTCGACAATGAGATAAGGAGCTATATCAAATGCAAGGATTAATATTATTATTTGGGGGGGGTGAGGTGGGAGGAGTGGGAAACAGCAGAAGAGGTGGGTCAAGAATGCCATATAACTCAAGGCTACAGTTTTGTACCATCCAAGACAGTACAGTTTGGTAGCCTTGAAACACATTTCAAAAGAAGGCTTGTAACTCAATTTTTAAAAGCATATTTGTAGGTATATTCAGCAATTCTGTACACGTCACATCAGAGTCACTTTCTTGACACGTGCTCAGCTAGCATGTGAGCATGAAAGGGCAACTCACATATAGTTTACCACTTGAGAACATGGATAGATGAAGCAATGTTTAATAACTGGGAAATGGGCGAAAGTATTGTCGAAAGTATTTGCGAAAGATAAATTTCTCTGAAATATTAGTGACTGCCATTCACAAAACTATCCCAGCAGTGCCAGTACTGCATGCAAATTCTCAGAGCCTTTTACCTGGCCCTTCTCAGCAAGTGACTTCTCCAGGTCCTCGATTTTTGCTTGGCATCGGATGAGGTCGGCTTGGAGCTGTTCACGAGTCTGCCGAGGTAAAATGAAGAGAGATCAATTGCAAGACCAGCTGATTAATACACTCTCTCGGCCTGCGTGTGACTGGGAAAGTTCTCAACTATATTGTTCCATTGGAGAAAGAATATCCAAGGGAATAATTTATTGAAGTTGGTAACCCAGTTCCTTGGAGTTGATTTCAATCATTCAGACCTTTCATAAATGGTATGCCAAGTGTGTACTCACTCTCTCTTACTTTGCTATTATCATTTAAATTACTCATCAGTGCTCCAAGACGGTACCCTGCGTGAAGGGCATTTATAAATGCGAGTTGTTATTACGTTGTTATTGTTCTTGTTTGCTACTCTGGCTCACTCTACTCTTGAAACCAGTTTGTATAACATTAGACATAACATGCAGAACGAGACTTGAGATCGCACTGATGTCATTACTATTGTTAACAAATCAAGGTTCAATGGTAGTCTTAACTAAAGCTTGTTTTATAGTCTCTGCTCCAGTTCGTTGGACTCTCTTCCATTTCCCTCATGACTATCAAAAATTATTCTCACATCTTTTAAAACAAATGTTAGGTGTGATAGTAATGTAAATCAACTCTAGATCTGATGCAAACATGAACTTCTAATGTGTCTGATTGCTCCCATTCAAGAATATGCGACCATCTATAAATAATGTCTCAAATAAAGGAATCTAAAGTACTTCCAGATTCAGACATTCTTCCCCCTCCTTTACAAACAAACTGAATGCACCACAAACTGCAGATTTTCGAACTGCATCCCTTGTCTGGTATCTATCTTTTTCAGCTTGGATTGAATGTTATAATTCAACAGGCTTTGTGGTGCAAGGAGTTGAAAATTGGCCAATTTCATTCATATTTCCTGACAGAGCAGCGATAAATTTCAGTATTTCATTCCGAACCATTTAAAAACATTGAAAGGACAATTCATATAAACAAAATTGAGCAGAACACCAATTTCCCCAGAGTGGTGCTATTTGTCACTTGTTTCAGTGACTGACACAATCAATCTTACCCTGGTTTCCCGCTCCACATCCAATGTTCCCCCAACTTGCTCCTGAAGCAAGGCATATGCTCTCTGCAGGGCTTGGTACTCTCTGGTAAGCTGTCGAAATCTCAGCTCCGATTCTTCCCTAGTTACGGTCTTACGGAGTAGAGGACATGTTTGCAGTTAGACATCCATTCACAAAATATTTAAGCAAGAAGTCTCCATTCACCTTCTCTTTACTTTAGCAGGTTATGAAACACTCACTGAGTTCTGAAAGCGCTCCTCAGGAAAGCAGCGAGGTAAATCGTGTCACCTATTGATGATGGTAAAAACGCCTCAGGTTGAAAGTACAGCTCCTGCAAGGAACCCTATGTACATCATGCCGACTCCCAAGGCCTTAACTCTGAGGCAGTCTCAGGTCTAAGACCAGTTCTCCTGGCTTGATGGGGGGGGGGGATGGGGAGGTCCATGGGCTCTCTGCAGGAGAAGCACTTTAAGTGCCAAAGCCACAGTACTTTTTGTAGCACTAAGACACTTCCACTTTCATGAGGAGTAAGTTTCAATTGAGTTATTTTGCGCTTTTGCCAACTTTAATAGTGCACTTATTACAGGAAGTTTGTTGTCATAAGTTTCACAAACAAGCATATCGAAGATATAAATGTTGTGAAATCTAAATACGGGGGAAGTTTGGTAAATACTATTCAGGTCTAAATATCACTCTTATTGCAGTGGAGCAAGTAAGAATAAAGGGGGTGGCTAGACAAAATGTTTTTACGTAAGGGTTATAACAAGACAGAATGGTTTACTTAAGCAGCTACCGAAGCTGATTACATCAATTACATCCTTTGAAAGTGAATTGGAAGAAGATATAAAATGATATGAAGGGTTATGGGGTAAATGAACAGGTAAATTGGTGTGGACCAAATAGGACGAGACTGGCATGATGGACCAGATTTGCTGCGTCGCTTACATCATCGAGGTCTTCTTCTGGAGTTGCCGGTGTCCTGTCAGTCCTCTCCGTTGTGTACGAGGTCACTGAGGAAGTTTCTGAATCGACCGATTCCTCGTCAAATCCAAAAAATGTCTCCACAACATGCCTCTGACAAACAAACAGAGCTTTTGTGAAACATTGCTCTGACATCCTTTATACCTGGTTGATACTGTAATGAATAATGACAACACCTCTGCATACATCCACAAGAACAAGGAGATGATTCAATTCATATGAGCACATTGTATACTCTCTATATAGAGAGTAAATGCTCTAGAGGAGGAGAGCCGTTCGGTGGCTGGAGAGCTGCTGGGCACCAGGAGCGGTTGAGTTAGGGTCCAGATGTAGGTATTGGTTTTGCCAATGTGGCGACAAGTGTTTTGTCCAAGGAGGGGTAATAGTGATTCCAGGCACTATTGTGTTGCTAATATTGAGACGTAGTGAGTCTGTGTGCTGTAGTCACCCTGCCCAGCCCTGCCTTGTCCAGCCCAACCCAGTCACCAGAAGAGCAAGCAGGCACATTGCAAACAGCCTGTTCTCAAAGGGGATTAAAAGAGACAAATTCTGGAAAGTCACCAGCCATTTGCTGAACTCAGCTACACTGTGAACAGAATTTCTTTTGATCTATTATTCATGCTCCCGTCCCAAACAGTTCATTTTAACAGCATTTTTTGTGACTGTTTGCAGATCTGTTCTCAGAATATATCAATGTAAGCATCAAAAAGGTACAGCAAAGCAATGCATCACCACCACTTGTTTTTTTAACTGACATTCATTATGCTTAACAAGGGGCTGGATAACCAGAAGGAATCCACCAAAGCATTCATCTCAGCAGCAAGCTCTGTGATAAGCCTGAATCCCAGGCCTGCGGGGTACCGTATTAGTTACTTGATAGTATAAGCACGTTACTGCCCTCTTCAAAGCCGACAGAACCCATCAATGGAGTTCTGCCTCCATGCTCGACACACAAGAAAAAAAATCAACGTTTCAGTATTGCTAGGGGGGAAAAAAGAGAGAGCTCTTCAATTCACTTTCCATTTCAGATTTAACCCTTTTATCTCCCGGCCACAAAGCCTTTTCGCAATGCACATCACCCCGTTCCTCATCAAGTTCACACTGAAACGGGCTGAGAGTGAATGAACATGGAAGGGTCACAGAGATCCATACAAACATTTCCTTCTCTTCCAACTCTTTCCTGTCCCATCCTCAAGCAAACTAAATTACCACCACGATTAACATTAACGGATTTAAATTCATATTCAAACACACAAGGAAAAAAACAATTTCACAACATAATTTCAAACAACCCAACTTTGTAGGTTTACACCGAAATCCGTGTTACAAAAGTGGAAATACAGTTTCCTGATAGACAACCCGATATTACGGTAATGGTGAATCGTTAATTAGTATTTAGTATCATTAATTAGTAGCATTAATGTCCTGCAAGTAAGAGAAGGCGAATCCCAGGAGATGTGAGTCAGAGTTGTAATCTGCCACCTCACAAACCCTCCACAGACTCAGTAAAGTCCCCATTTTCCACTCATAGTAACCATTGTTACTATGGTTTCCTATCCAAAAAATAACTTCTCGATCTTTGCCTGAAGGTTGCTATGGGGTAAAGGGAGGAGGGGGATAGAAAAGAGGAGAAACAGGAAGGAGAACCATCTCTTGGCCATGTGTCTCAATCACCTTCTTCAAAGCAGCATTGATGGAGATTGCAAAAGCAAAACAAGGATTTTTCCTTTTGCCTGAGGAAACGCATGACCTGAACATGATTGAAGTAAGTCTGCCTGGTTCTAATCTCAAATATTGTACCAACTCAGAGAGAGGAGGAAGAAACTGAAAAAATATATCATTACAAACATTTATTAGGAAGGGACTCCAAGGTTGCATTTCAGCTTTGGGTCTCAGGTGACAACCTTTTTTTGTGTGACCCAGCTTCCAATCTGGATCCCTGGAGATCCAACTGCAGATTAATTGAGAATTAATTCCCAGATGCAGCTACTCACTATTCACTCCAAACATAGCGGAACTAGTCTGCCTTTAAAGGAGCAGTTTAATGTTTTGGCTGACAACAACACAAACAATAAATTCCATTTATACAGCACCTTTCACATCAGAAGGATGTCTTCAAGGCACTGGACAGTCAAGGATTTGCATCTGAGCTAGGGGTTGGAATCAAGAGGGGAGGTGGGCAACAACAACAACAACAAATTACATTTGTATAGCACCTTTCACATCAGGCAATTGAAGAAAGTGACTGGGGGTAAAAAGGCTGATGGCCTGACCACTGATGGTGAGGAAAGCAGGGTGGGGGACATTGAGCACGTCAGTGAAAGCAGGGAGCAGGCTAGTTGGTAAGGAGGTAGGGAGGGGCAAGACTGTGGAGGGCTTTAAATGTGAGAACAAGGATCCTAAATTCAATCCTCCAGGGGATGGGGATTCAGTGGAGCCAGAGAGGATGGGGGTGAAAGGCTCACTGAGCTTGGTGTAGGAGAGGATATGAGCTGCAGTGTTCTGAATAATCTGCAACTTGTGGAGGGAAGAATTGCTAAGTCAAGCCTGGACATGACGAAAGCCTGGATGGGGGTCTCAGCAGCCTGAGTGGAGAGGTAATAGCAGAGGCGGACAATGTTGCGGAGGTGGAAGGCAGTATGGTGGAGTGAGCATCCATGAATAATGATGGTGAGGAGGCGCTGATGGGAACCAATCAGTAGAGCTTCCATCTTGTCGACATTCAATTGGAGAAAGTTCGCTCTCATTCAGCACTTGATATCTGACAAGCAATCTGTCAGGACAGCAGTGGTCCTGGAGTCGAGGCTGGAGGCAGAGACATAGAGTTGGGTGTCATCCGGATAGATGCAGAACAACAACAACAAGATTCCATTTATAGAGCGCCTTTCACATCAGGCGCTGTACAGTTGGGTCAGGACCCGAGCAGGGTGAGGGGAGGGAAGGGAGGGAGGGAGGAGGGGGTAGACAGTCGAGAGGGGAGCTGAAGGCACCATCAAAGAGAAAGGTCTTGAGACCGGCCTTGAAGGAGGAAAGGGAGGAGGCGGCGAAGGCACTGGGGGATAGAGTTCCAGAGCCTAGGGGCTGGAAGTTAACCCTATGTCTGTGAATGATGTTACCAAGCAGCAGCAGCACGTGAATACTGAGGAGAGGATTAAGGACAGAACCCTAAACCATGTTGCATGTGATGGTACAATGGCTGAAGGAGAAGCTGTTAGCAGATACAAAGTGGACATGATGGGAAATCAAGGAGCAAAACTAAGCAAGGACAGAACCGTGAAGGTGGTGCTGAGAGGTGAGGCAGTGGAGGAAAATAAGAGTGGTCAACAGGTGCAGTATAGCAACAGAATGCAATATTGGAGGCAGACAGGCTTCACAAAATTGTACATCAGATACGTCTTCTAAAGGTACTTCACAAGAAGCCAGAGTTACCAGGAAGCACTGTCACAAAAAATCAGGTTTGCTACTAGGATAGTTCTCTTTGAATTAGTATTGTAACTGAGACAGCAAAGATTTTTTCCAGTGACCTACTTAAATCAGCGTCTCATTATTTTTACATCTCAACAACAATTACATTTGAGAGTTATACAAAAAATAAACTGCTGCAATTCCACAGACTGCTCCAGTAAGTAGTGATGTGGCATTTCAAGAGGTATTGAGCATTGGCTGATGATTGTAAGTCTTCAGAGCTGCTGTACATTTACACTTTGGTTTCTTAGTTATGTTTACAGAGATAACCATATGCTCAAAAGCCAACAATTACATAGAGCAACACGTGGAGTCCAGATTTATTTTAGCATACAAATATATGTTGCTGATAAGTAATTCAAATTTCTGCGTGGCTCAGATGGTAGCACTTTTGTCTCCGAGTTAAAAAGTTGGGACTTTGAACTCACAGTCTAGACTGACACTCCAATACAATGCCGGGGGACGCTGCATTATTGGAAGTGCCATACTTCAGTTGGGAGACTTTACACCAATTTGCCATCTGTCCTTTCAGATGGACATTAAAGATCCCAAGGCATTATTCGAACCAAAGGTTTGCCCTGGTGGTGCTGGCAAACCCCAGACAAATCCACAGATAATTTATTCCCCAGGCAAAATTGGTCATTCATTTCATGGCTGTTTGTGGGACATTGCAATGTGCAAATTGGCTGTCATATTACCCTACAAAATATGCAATCACTATACTTTACAGTTAAATCCTGCGAAGGACTTGGAATGTCCTCCAAATGTGAAAGGCACTATATCAAATCCAAAGATGATTATTATTATCTATCCAAAGATCACAATACAGGTATATTAGTTACTTGTGCACATTCATGAACATTACATCTATAAATAGACAGAAAATCTATGACCCTTACGCATTATCTCATGCTTCATATACTGTCTATTTAATTACATGGGACAGGATCTCTCTCTTTACAATTTTATATTTGAATCTACTCATAGAATCTATGATTCTATAAGTTTGCAGGGCTAAGGGGAGAGAGCAGGAGAAATGGATTGATTTGAGTAGCTCTTTTCAAAGAGCCGTCACAGACACATTGGGCCGAATGGCCTCCTTCTGTTCTGTATAATTCTATGATGCTCCAAACTCAACCCAATAAAGTGTCATCCATTGACCACTTCTCAGGTCTTATGGCAGGAACACAAAATCCTGATATAACTGAGTGGATACGGGAGAAGCAATCCTCAGATATGAAATCTTGCATTTGATATGACGTCTTTCATGTCAGGGAAATATCTCAAACCACCGCACATGTTTTAAAGTGTAGTGACTGTACATTCTGTAGATGAACATGCCAGCCAAATTGCCCACAAACAACCATCAGATATTGTAATATTTCTCCAATTAGCCAGTGCAAGCTAATGACTGAGTTTTCAAAGCTTTTATCTATTTCATTAGGGAAGAATTGAATCAGTTCTTATTTGCTTTGGCTCTGGCCCCAATATTCCTGAACTCTCTCTAAAGTGCACATGTAACTAATATACCTGTATTGTGATCTTTTCTGCAAGAGGAGCAGCAAATAAATTGAGTGTTGATCCAGTGTGAATAGTATGGGAACCCATCTTCTGAAAACCTTTCATCA